TGCTGAAAATCTGCTTTCCGATTACTTGAATGTCACTCTTTATAGAAGAAGTTTTCTAGTGGAGAAGAACCTAGCCTGAATTTTATTTTTCTTCCAAGGCCAAATAGGTTACCTGTTGCTCCTGGAAACACTCTGTCAAAGAAATAGCTTTAAGGGTTTCTAGATGCTGCAAATAACATGTTCCCGACATGTGGTCCTCCTGTTCGTTAGCCCTGATATTGTACCAAAGTGAGTTGTGGATAATACGTCCGTGTTTGCTCTTTAATACTTTATTTTGCATTCTCAAGATGAGATTTTTAAGAGTGCTGTTTGAAGATAGTGTCTTTGTAGTGTCCTAGTTCTCCAGGGGACTGTTCCCACTTTTATAATTCCATGCGAGTCTAGAAAGTATATACATATTTATATTTTGTGCTTGTGTTCATTATTAATATATTTAATCTATAAAATACATGTTCATACACAGTCATTTTAAGTGTAGTAGACATTTCATTTGCAAGTTTCCAAAATAGGCCAATGAGAACTTCCTTTTTTCCCTATTAATTGTAACTTAACCTAAAAGCAAATTGCTGTTGGTTTTCACTCACTTTCCTCAAGACCTATTTGCAATTAGATGATTTGGGTGGTTCTTTTAGAATAAAACTATAAATTTCAATATCAGTTATGAATTTTTAGTAGTATCATCATTATTCACAAAAAACAAATGCAGACATAATATTTGCCAGTTCATGTGTCTCATTATATGTTCTGCTTCTCCTTTTGAAGTTTTTTTTCTCCAGATAGGCATGTAAATTAATGAGTGCTTTTCTTTTGTACTTTCACCCTATTTCTTTTTTTCTTTTTTATTCTCCACCTAGAGTGCTCTCTTCTTTTGCAGGTAAAAAATATATTTTATTTCTTGACGTAAGCCCTTTTGTAGTATGTTCCAAAATTGAGTATTAATTGTTCTAAAAAGTTTTAATCAAATTAAAGTTTTTCTTGCCTTTCCTATATGTTAGGCTCTATCCTCTCCTTCATCGTGTAATTTAGTAGTGTCATTGTGATCAACGATACCACATTTTAATTTTGTGTATAGAATTCCTTCCAGAGCTAAGCTATTCATTTGGAATTTGGGGCAGTTTAAACTCCTTTCTCATCTTTACAAGTTGCAGAGGTAATATTTTTCCTGAACTGCAAGGTGGGCAAATGATTATATTTTTAATTACTGGGTCTAGTAACTGTAGAACAAGAGTCTAGAAACACAAATGTACCTTAAGTATCCTAAACATGCATATTGGATCTTAGAGAAATCTTTGAATAACCATAAGGTAAATCTGCTGACTCTTCTTTCTAAATATCTCTGAGTCACTGAAGGGATTTTTTAAATGTTTTCCATTTGACAGAACGTAGACATTATGAGTCAAGAAAGTTCTGTTTGCAGCCTAGACGCAGCAGGTTATAAACAGGAAATATGCTGCCCTAGGAATCTGAAGACCTGGTTTCTTACCCAGACTTTTATGTGACTTTCCCTGCATCTCTTAATGTTTCTCTTTTCTGCTTTTATCAACTACCTGTCTCTCCTATGGCTTATGGGAACACACTTTAAAAGCTTTTTAGCCCTATAAAAACACTAAAAAATATAAACTTTTATTCTAAAACTCAGGAAAAAAATTAATTCACATGTAAAGTAATTTTATAATACTTGGCTTAATTTGAAATCATTAATTTCCAAAATATGTTAAAAGATATATTGAATGTTGTAGGATATAATTATACAGTAAAGTAGGCTTTTATTTTAACACTTTAGATGAATTTCAGGTTTTAAATTATAATCAACATTGGATCTCATGTAAGATACAGTTTTATGCTTGGTATAAGTTTAATGTCTGTAAAATAGGTATAGATATTTCTAAAATATTATTTTTTGTTGATCCAACTGCATTTTTCTAATATATCCCACTCTGGACTTTTTTTTTTTTAATATCTTTATTGGAGTATAATTGCTTTACAGTGTTGTGTTAGTTTCTGCTGTATTGACTTTTTAATATAGATGCTATCCTTCCTTGAAGTCTGAATATCTACTTTCACATCAATTCTATATATTTAATCAGATCCCCCAAATTCACGTTTCATTCAAGGTATTCCTTTTATTCAAAAATAAAATGAGACATTTGGAGTAAAATTAAAGTTCTAAGAGAATAAGATCTGAAGTTGCTTCGAAAATAACTGACATAAGGAGTGATCAATAACCGAGTATAACAGAAAGAATCTATTATCTGTATTTTAATTTTTAAAATACAATATTTAATAATAAAATATATAATACTATAAATTTATAGCAAGTATATTTAGATTATGTATTACAACTAACAAAAACCTTACTAGTCATCAGGTTGTTTTCCCCACAGAATGATTTGAAAAACATCCATGGGTTGAGTTTCTCCATCGTAAGCTGGCAGCTGCCAGCACTGAAAGTTACCTTCCAGTATTTTCTGTTGACAGCGAGCTCAGTGAGGTTTTAGAGACATCTAACTGAGGACAAATTCTAAACGTTTACATAAAGCACATTTAAAGCAGGAACTATATTAATAAATACAGCGAAGTTATGTAATGAACTCCTACTTATTAATAGACTCTAAGGCAAAAGAGCACTTCCATCCTGTTCTCTGTGCTAATTCTAACCTCTGTGACCCGGCAAAGGACGTTCATGGAAGGCCGGTTCTTAGGTTCCTCACCCTTGATGGTGGCAGGGCACCTCCAGTGAGTAGGCACTGAGGGGCACGGGCTGTTCTCTTGAAATGCAGCCCCGCTGAGGATTCTGCTTCCTTGATAAGCCCTGTGTATAGATGAGAACACAGCTCTTCAAAAACGGACCCTGAGAATCATTAATAGATACAGACAACCCAGCTCCTTAAAATAGGATGTGATGAGGCAATGGCCGTTGAGATGGATGGGCTCATAGATGGGCAGACAAACCAGTGACTGACACAGCTGACCAGAGAGCTCTGAACTACCTGAGGATCGAACGTCTCGGAAGACCTGAGACCTAAGTCGACGCGAGAGTCCTCTAGAGATGCTTGCCATTCTGTGAGCACCTCTGCTTCAGATCATACTACGTTCCAACCTCCTGATCCTGACTTCCTACCATTTTGTTTCTCTTTAATCCTCCCTAATCCATATTGTTTGATTCTACGACTGCCTGAACCATGGTGTTCATTACACACCAGTTGTGCTGGTTCAAAACAGAGCTCATTGGTGTTTAATTATTGTATTTAATTTGTTAGAAACACACTAATCATCTATCATTATTTTTGATACTTTTTTTCTTTGGGAGACAAAAGCAATGTTTTCTTACAAGGTTAAACTGTCTTTTATGCTAAGGTTCCTCTGAGAGTTGTTTACAACAAAAATAGAACATTCTGTTGCATATGATATTTATAAAATAGTCTTAGAAGGTTAAAAGACCATAAGTTAAAATAATGTGTTTTCTTTCATCTGTAGCCTTAAATCCAAAGATATATTTATTGTGTCCAGCATAATGAAAATGGAGAAATTATTTTTGATCAATTTTGTATGACTTAAAATAATGTTTAGTGGCCTTAATATTAACCATAAAGTATTAAAATATATTCTAGAACTATTAATATGTTGTCCTAAAGAAAAGATATTTTAAATTAACTCTTTTTCATGATAAAAGTAAAGAATAAGGAAACAATGTGGTATTTGAAGACATGATTGAAATTGAAGGTTCCCTATGAAATAGCCCCAACAAAAGGAAAAATTGTAGGATTTTAAAATTTTTCATAATAAATAGAAAGACTATATTAAAATAAGTGCTGTTAAAATTTATTTTAACAACAAGAAGTGTTTCCTTGTTAGAAGCATTCTCCTTGCCACCTGGGCTTAAACCCCTGCAACATCTTTTAAAATTTACTTATTATGTTGTGTTTGATACATACGAAGAATATATGTCGTAAATAACACTTCAGTACTAATGCATACAAACAAAATGAACGTCATGAACCAACCACCCGTGTTAAGAGTTAGAAAAACATTATTATTCAAACTCTCACCTCTACTGTATTCTTCTTTCCTTCCACACTCTTGGCATCCCTGTCCCTGAGGCAGCCGTTGTTCTTGTGTGTTGATAGTTTCCTAACATTGTTTTCAGTACAGCTTCATCACGTGTATGTTCTCTAAGCAGCATACTCTTTACTTTTGCTTGCTTTTTAATTTTATAAATATGATTACATATTATAGGTAATCTGTTATTTGCATTTTCACTTACATTCTATTTGTAATATTCACCCATTGTCATGTGTAGCTCTGGTTTATTCATTTTGCTGGATATAATATCCCATTGTATGACCAGCAGTCAGTTAATTGTGATGGAAACCTGAGCCATCCCTAGTTATATAGTTTTTAAAAAGCTACTATGTATATTCTTGAACATGTCCCCGGAGTACACATGAAGAGTTTTCTCTATAAAATGTTGGGACATAGCTTATGAAAATGTCCAGCTTTTCTAGGTAAAGCCCAATTAATTTACAGTGGGGTTTTACAACTTTACACTCACATCAGTAGTGTGTAAGAGCACCATCCTTGCCAACATTTGGTACTGTCAGACTTCTACATTTTTGCAGGTATAGTGATTGTAAAATGATATTGCATTTTCTGAAGAGTGATAAAGTAGGATACTTTTTCATATGTTTACCATTAAAACTTTGCCTCTTATGAAGTTCCTGTTCATGTTGCTTCCTCATTTTTCTGTTGGGTTGTTTATCTTTATTTGTTGGTGTGCTTTACAAAATCTGGATACTATTCTTTTGTTAATTGCCTGTATTGTGAATCTCCCCTTCCAGGTTTTGATTTATCTTTTCATTAGCTTTGTGGTGTCTTTTGATGAATGAAGGTTCTTAATTATATTTTATCTAATTTATCAACCTTTTCAAGTTAGTGCCCTTTGAGTTATGTTTAAGAAATCCTTCCTTACCTTGAAGTAAAAACGCCATCTCCCAGGGAATTCCCTGGTGGTTCAGTGGTTAGGACTCAGCATTCTCACTGCCGTGGCCTGGGTTCGATCCCCGGTCAGGGAACTAAGATCCCGCATAATGTGCGGCCAAAAAAAAAAAAGAAGCCATCTCCCATATTTTAAAAAATTTTGTCTTTCACATTTGGTCTTTAATCCACTAAGCATTATTTTTAAAATGATCCTTTGTTGAGATGTAATTTCCATACCATGCTACTCACCCGTTTAAAGTGCACAGTTTGGTGAGTTTTAGTCTATTCACGGAGTTGTGCAGCCATCACCCATCAATTTTAGAGCATTTTATCACCTCCTCTCAAAACACTGATAGCCCTTAACAGTTACTCTCCGTTTCCCCCAAACATTCCAGCCCCAGGTATCCACTAATCTATTGATAAATCCTCTCTCTGGATTTACCTGTTCTGGCTAGTTCATATGGTGGAATCATGCCACATGTGGTCTTTTGTGACTGGCAGTTTTATTCAGTATGTTTTCAAGGTTCATATATGTTGTTGTGTGTTTTAGTTCTCAGTTTCTTTTAATTGTTGAATAATATTCTGTTGTTTGTATATACTAGACTTCATCTGTCCATTCATCCGTTGATGGACATTTTGGTTGTTTCTACTTTTTGGCTATTATGAATAATGCTGCTTTGAACATTCTGTGCACGTTTTTGTGGGGATATGTTTTATTTCTCTTGGACATGTAGCTAGGAATGGAGAGGGTTTATTTTTGTCTATTGTGTAAGATGAGGATATGATTTCTTTTTTCCCCATTTGAATCACTTGTGATCTCAGCACAGTTTTGAGACTAGTTCATTACTTGCCTACTGAGCTGCAACGCCAGCCCTGCCCCACGGGAGCTCGTTTCTGGGCTCCCCGGTCTCTGTGATAACACGACACTGTTCATTTCAGTAACATTTTTCTAGGTGCTGATATCAGGGTGGAATGCCACAGCACCTGTTCTTCTTTAGGAACAGCATGGTACTGTGTTCATTCCTGTACATTTTAGATCCCACTTGCCAAGTTTTTGGAAAGCTTTTGTTGAAACTTCAGTTGGATTTGCATTGATTCTGTAGATCACTTCGGGGAGAGCCGATGGAGAGACTTTTCATCACTGCGATGTACCTCTCGGGTATTTAGAGCTTCTTTAATGTCGTTCAAAAAGGGTTATAGTTTTTTCTTCAGAGTTTTGCACATCTTTTGGTAGACATATCTGAGAAACTTATATTTGTTATACGTAGCTATAAACGGTGTTTTATAATTTTTTCGGGTGTATAAAAATTACAAATGATTTTTAAACATTGGTCTTTGATTCAGATACCTTTGTAAACTCTCTTATTATTTCTAGTAACTTGTGCATTGATTTTACTTTTTCTCAATAGACAATTACAACATCCATGATTAAAGACAGTTTTGTTTTCATATTTTTTTTCTTGTCTTGCACTTATGAATACAAGTAGTGGTAGCAGGCATTCTTTGCTTCTTCCTGGTTTTAAAAGAGCTATTTTGAAACTTCACAATAAAGAATGAATAAAATTTGCTGAGCTTTTGGTAAATACTTTTATCTGGTTAAGAATGGTCTCTTCTATTCCTATTTTACTAAGAGTTTCTATGGTGGAATTTTATCAAATGTTTTTCTGTGTATTGAGATAATCATAAGGCTTTTTCTTTTAATACATAAATGGAATAAATCATATTATAGGTTATTGTCTAACATTAAACCAACATTATGTACCATCCAATTTTTTCATGATGTAATATCATTGGATTCAATTTGCTAATAATTGTTGAGAGAGATTGACCTGAGATTTTTCTTTTTTGGACGCGTTTTTCATTGATGTTGTGCTAGTCTCATAATTTGAGTTGCTGAATAAACCTTCTTTTTCTATTCTCTGAAAGAATTAGTGTGCGAGTGAGGTATTTGTTTCTTGAATATTTGGTGGAACTGGCCAATAAAGCCATCTGGGCTTGATATTTTATTTCTGGAAAGATTTTTGACTACTATTTAAATTTTTTTAGTGGTTATAGGATGATTCACATTTTGCAGTTTTTTCTAGTCAGTTTTGGAAAAATTTTATAGTTTAGGAATTTTTTCTTTTCATCTAAATCTGATATTTATTGGCATTTATAGAATTTTATAAATGTTATACTGCCCTTGCATTCTCTGCAACTTGCTGTTTACATATTTTATTTTTATGCATTACTGGACTTGATTTGCTAATAATTTATTTGAGATTTTTATGTCTGGTTCATGACTGAGTTGGCCTATAATTTTTATTTCTCTTCCTATTCCTGTCATCCTTTGGTATCAATATTATGACTTCTGAAATAGTTTCAGTGTATATTTCTCATTTTCTATTCTCTGGAAAAGTTTGTAAAGGATTAGAATGATCTATCTCCTGGGTTATTTTTCTAGAACTCACCTACAAAATTATCTGAGCTTAGCGTTTTCTTAGTGTGAGAGATTCTTAACTGTTCTTTCAATTTTTTTAATTGGATTGTTTTAGTTGATTGTTTCTTCATTCTTCATTTTCCTAGGAATCTGTTTCACCTAGGATCTCCAATTATTGGCATAATATTGTTATGGTATCACCTTATTATCTTTTTGATCTGTGATGGATCCTGTACTATGTTGTTCTTAAATTTTAATATTAGTTATTATCTCTTTTTTCTAGATAATATTGCCATACTTTATTTTTATCTCTCATATTTGTTTATTTGTGCCTTCTTTCCTGTTTCCTTCATCGGTCTTACCGGAAATAGTTCTGTCTTGCTAATTCCTTAAATTGGCTGCCTATTTCACTAATAATTCGCCTTTTAAAAATAAGTAGCACGTTAAGGCCACCTATTTCCTTCACTTTAGTTTCATCCTTCAGGATTTGATAAGGCATATTTTCATTATCAATCATTTCTCAGAATTTAAATGTTATGAATTTATTTGATTAGGAAATGTGTTAACACCAATCAGAATTTAAAAGTCATAAAAATAGAGTGAAATATCTCCCATGCGCCCCTGTCAGCACTAACCCCCTCATTCCCAATTAAAACAGCACAAATGTAAAAAGTGTGTGTGTCTTCTTCCAGAGATTATTTCTAAGTACATTTAATTTTTATCTTAACTTCATTTTGAAGCATGAGTTATTTAAGGTGTATATTTTAAATTTCGAAGTATACGGGATATTATTTTGGTTTTGTTGTTGCTATTTTTGTCATGGTTCTTAATTTAGTTGCAGTCTTGTTAAAGAATATCTTTGATACCACCAATTTCTTGCAACATGTTGACACCTGAATTTGGCATGTGTTTGTGTGTGTGTATGATGAACTCTTTTACTGGAATGGTGGATTTGACCATTTTCCCCTGTAGTTCTGTTAAATTTGTTGTATATATTTTAAGATTGTTTTATCACATGTGTACAAACTTAGATGTGTCTCTCTGGTGAATGACATTAAAAAATAATTTAGTGATACTCTATTTTGAGACTACCTTTCATTAATAATTTACTGGTATAACTTTTTTCATCCCTTTGGTTTCAATTTCATGTCTTCATTGTTCTCATAAAAAACATAGATGAATTTTATGTTAAAAAATTTAAACTATTACACTCTTTTAATTAGTAATTTTGGTCCATTTACATGTATTGTGATTTTTGATATACCATCTTACTTTTTTCATCTTTCCCACTTTCTTCTATGCTTCTTTTTGCCCCAGTTTTTAAAATAGACTATTTTAAAAACAGTTTTATATTTATGGAGAAAATGAGAGGATAAGGTATAGAGAACTCCCGTTTATCCCACACCCAGTTTCCCCTTATTAACATCTTACATTAGGACGGTACGCTGCTTACAACTTTGCAGCATCATTAACTAAAATCCATACCTTATTCAGATTTCCTTAGCTTTTACCTAATGCGTTTTGTCTGTTCCAAGATTCCACCCAGAACATCAAATTAATTTTAGTTATCATATCTCCCTAGTCTCCTCTTCACTGTGATTGTCAGATTTCCCTTATTTTTGATGATCTTCTGATGATCAGAATTTGTAAAATGCCCTTCTATAGTAATGTGGAATTCTTTTGCAAGGAAGATATGTCTCTTCTCCCTTATTATTAATGAAATCATTATATCAGTATGTACTCAGAGATATTTATTTCACCTTGGGATAGAATCCGATGCTAGTTTCTCACATTGTTCCGGCTTTGGGCTTTGGGCTCCGTCAGTGTGCACTTCTAGGACAGCAGGGTGTTCCAGGCTCAGCTCAGGTATTTTCTGCCCATTTGCCCAAGGACCACTGGTTCCTTTCACTGGAGGATGGTATGAGAAACCAAAATCTGGGACTTGGTGTGCTTATTGCTACTGGGATGTCACTTACTGAGTGTAATCTGTTTCTTACCCACTTTGTCTGCTTTTAAATTTTTCAATTTGTCTTTCATGTTCTGCCATTTCATTACCCAGTATCTAAATGTGGATTTCTTTTCTTTCTTTCTTTCCTGTTCTTTTTTTTATTTTCTATTTTTCCATCTTGCTTGATATTTATCGTGCTCACTATTTCTGTGGAGTCTTGCTTTTCCTCAGTTCTGGAAAGTTCTCGATCATCATCTTTTCATGTCTGCCCTGTCTTCCCTTCTGTCTCCTCTCCTTCTGGAACTCTAGGTATATATCAGATCTTACTTTCTATTCTGTAGCTTTAAACATCTCACTATTATTTTTCTGATATTATTGTGCTGTATTGTGGGTAGTTTATTAAGGTCTCCTGTTTCACTGCTTCTCACTTCTGCTCTGTTCAAGCTGCCTTCACTCATCCATTCTATCTTTTATACAAAATTTTTATTTGGTTCTTTCTCAAAGCTTGGAATTTTTGTTTAATCTCTTCTGGTTTACTCATTTTGTGACTCTGTCCTTTGTTTCTTTAAACACTTAACACATGTTTATTTTATATTATTTTTCTGATAATTCCCATATCTGACGAACTTGCTTGTGGGAATCTGTTTCTGCTGACTCTTACCAATGGTGTTTTTTGGGGGGACTTAGTAATTTTTTATTAGGAGCTCATATTTTGTTTATCTTAATTT